GGTTTCATAACTTTACTACGCAGTTTGAAATAAATATCTTTTTTTTTTTAAAGCTGAAGCATCAAAGAATAAGCCGCTTTCTGCACAAAAGTGTATTATGTTCCACTAACAATTTATAGTCTTTCAATTTTTTTCATCCATAAAGTTTTGACTTAACGCGTTTGAAGCCCTTCGGTTTAACTGTAAAAGAATTCTGTAATATCGATGAATGAAGAGTCACAGAGTACTGTGGCAAAAGCGACAAACGTTTCAGCCGTTTTTTGACGGGTAACGGACACCGTCGCACCGTTTAGACAGATCTGTTATTCCCCGCGCTGTGCCGATTGGCCGCACGTCGATGCGTCGAGTAAGCCGATACGAATTGTCGAACAGGTACCTACGCGTAGCAGATTGTTCAAAAATCGCTCGGTTCATTCGATGAGTCGCTCTTTGTTCCTCATACATTTATCAGCCACCTCAATTCCTGAAGGCGGATAAAGGCGGATATACGTCAAGAGAGGTTGCGATCGTGTTGGAGCCTTTTGCGAAACGAAGGTTTTTGGTACTTTGAGGTTTTTGCGTAGAGACTCGATTTTGGATAGAGATATATCTCAGAACTATCAGACTTTTTCAACAAATTATTGTAAGAAACATTGAGATAATTTATTAGAATTATATTTTAGTTATAAACGATTAAATAAAGGAATTTTGGCGATATAAATTTTATAGTCGAATATGTGACAAAATATAATTTATTTTCCTGTTTTAGATAAACTTTGTAACAATCTTATCTTAATTTGCAAAGTATAATTACAAAAATATATTGGTAGAAATTAATAACTTATATCAGAAGATTATATCTAATTAAAACATTGTTAAAAAATTGATTTTCTATCGGTCGAAAAAATATATTTAAAAAGAATATTGAAAGTTTTGAAATGTATTCTATATATATGTATGTATATTAATTAATTTATGCATATTAAAAATAACAAGAAAAACATAGAAAGTGTAACGAGAATAATGCCACGTAAAGTTTTTCACGGCTAAACTTTTTACACGTTCTTTTTTTGTCTGCAACTCTTTGTAGCTGCGATGATGGAGGTAGCCTTAAATCAGTTCTGATGGACGCGTGTAACCGCATTCATACACGAGAACTGGCACGATGGACGAGGAAACGTAGAATGAAATGCGCGATTCGGAGACAAATCGGACGTTGGTCCTCTCGGGCTTTGAAAAGCCACCGATGTATCGGAACTGTGCTCGATCGAAATTTCAATAGTTACTGTTCTCCTCTGCTTTTGGCAGAGAGAAGGAGAGAAAGAGAGAGAGAGAGAGAGAGAGAGAGAGAGAGAGAGAGAGAGAGAGAGAGAGAGAGAGAGAGGAGGAGGAGGAGGAGGAGAGGAGAAGGAGGAAGGAACGGGGGAAGGGGGGGGGTAGGGGAGGAAGGAGACCGGACGTGCGGAGTTGATCGGTATTGGCAGCAGGTAGTACGTATGGATGCGGTGCCCAGAACCCGATACGATATATCTCGCTCAGGACGCTTTGTGCTTCGTCATTCCGCGATTTCCCAGAGTTTCGTACAAGAATTTGATAAGGCGCCAACATGGTGGTGATGCCCGGAATACTGCCCGGGTCCAAAAGTCTACTATTAAAGTATCGTTACTCGCATCGCGAGATAGGGAGAAGAAACTCGAGATTCCATCATAAAATGTCGTGATGGAATACTAAGCGATCCGTTAATTTGCGGTGAAGAAAAGATACGGAAAACAGGGCAAAAATTTTCCAAAAGTTTATCGCATTATTATCACTGCTTGTAATATATAATTGTGTGAAAACATGAATGAAAACATTGTGATGGATAATTTAATTGAGATTGAATTTATATTTTATCTTGATATATATAAAGTGCTGAAAAATATATAAAAATTTTAAGTTTCAGCGACGAGAAGAAAAGAAAATTTAACGTGACGAATTAATACCACGTGCCGTCTCGAGTCTTTTTTCTCCCGCTGCTCCTTTCGTTTTCTTTTTGCAGCCGCGCGAAGGCAGTGGAAGGATCGGTAAAATGAATCGTATGCCTCGAGGAAACGTATTTCTCATATTTTATTCCCACTGCTTTACCGTCGCCTTTTTTCATCACGGGGTTTGATTTGAACCCCGAAGAGTCGCGGGCGCGACGGGGAAAGGGGAACTCGCGTAGCCTATAGCTGTTCTAACGCGAAGTGCCTAAAGCAGAGCGCGGGAATTACAGGGGAGGGAAAGAAACGCGAGAAAATTTGCACGTCTCCCGCCTGGAATGATGAATGAGCCGCTTTATCTATTCTGCTCTCAGATATCATTCTGACTATTAAAGGAAAGAGATGCGCGAAATTCAGCGTGGCGCGAGCGTGACGAGGGCCTCGTTTCACGATTCCGCGCGTGCTTGCCGCTGTTGTTGCGACTTTCGGTATAAAATATTCATCATTGTCGTATGATTTAAATAATGCAAAGACGCTCGCGACGTGATTGTTTAAGGGGGAGGACGAGAAACTGCATTTCGACGTCGCTGTCGCGAATTGTTCACGGATTTATAATAGAATTCGCCCAATGCACACTGCTCTCGCAATACTTTTCTCCAAAGTTCGACGACCTCGTCTCTTTCGCGATATCGATAACGGATAATCCAATACGGATGCAACGTAGTCTCGAAGAGAATCGAAAGATATCGCGGCGGCTATGTGCGTATTATCGGCTAATCTCGAGTATATACAGGATGCCGGTATCTGGCGGTGTTATTAAGGTTTGCCGATTTCGCCTCCGTAAATCTCGATGGCGAGCCGTTACGGAAAACACAATTTTCCGACAATCTGCTTTCCTAGCGGACGAAAGGCAATCAAGCGTCACTTAAGCGCACCGTTGTCCGTTTTATGATCTCGCGGCGAACACCGGCTTCGTGGCGAGATTGAACGACCTGTGGCAACAACACTACCCAAGTTCACGGTGTCCTTATCCTTCTCTGTTAGATCCTGTTGAAACACTTCGTGATTCCGTTAAACATTTGTTCTTGGAGCGCGTTGCGCGCATCGCCGTTGATTTCGCGTTTTCCAACGTCCGAATTTACAATATTGTACATATTATTAATGCAAATGAAAACATATGTAGGGCAATTTGACGTATATGTATGTATTTATAATTATTGACTAAATCGACGATGCAAATGGATATTCGCGTATCCGGATGACATGTGTGTCCGCGTGTACATTATATTCACGGTCTAATTCAACATTTATTCATGGAATAATCTTGTGGTACGAATAGATACGTATCCGGATGGTGTATTTATATTTGAATACATGATAGGTCTAGAATATTAATCGCGATGTGTATTACAACCGAGTTTGCACAATGCTCGTCAAGGGTAAATGTGAAATTTGTGATGTAGGTCGAATCTGTATCACGTATTTATTCCGACGTACATTTACTTCCGCGATAAAAGTTGTTTTCGCAATTGTCACCACGGTGCTGCGGCGCATTTCGTCGAATTAGGTGCAATCGACGATAATTGTTTTATAATTGCGCGTGTACCGCCAAGAAGTACGATTGCAATACGCGGTTAAGATAAATGCTCAAGCAAGGCGAGGGCACCTACTGAGACTGGCGGAGAGACAGGAAGGTGTAATGAGAGTAGTTTACTGCTTAATCGGAGTTTCTCGAGCGGCTTCTCCAACTACTCCAATTAACCCGCTGTAAAATCCGATTGTGAATAGATTCAAGGATAAATTCGGTGCGATATCGATTAACCGTCTAGTTGTCAGACATCTCGACGGCGAGTTAAGGATTCCATTAATAGCGCTTTCTAAAGATTCATTCTGTTAATTACAGTGTGTTCGTTGCAAGACGATTATAATGCTAACGTAATATCGCCGAAGATTATTAAGAAGGTAGGAAAAATAGAAAAGGAACGTGCGCGTGCGCACGTGGGGAAGGATGCTCGGTTATTTGCCAACCAATTCAACGTAGAGTCGGCTGTAAGTTGTTTAAGTTCGATGAAATTTTCTAAAGACATCGATTCTCTTGATCGCGAGCAAATAGAAGCGAGCGTTGGGAATATATACGTACCGTGTCTAAGCACGGTCAGCAGCGTTTAACGCGAGATTGACCGACGGACGCAGTTTGCGCTGCGGAGAACGGCTGCTACGGTCGTTCAGGGTCCCGCGCAGGAAGCGGCCGAGGGCCTTGATGGGCATCGTTATGCCTTTGTGAATGGCTATGGGACAAATTACGCCGTGGGCGAGGATAGGTACGGCTAATATTTTTATAAGTTCGAGTACCGCGGTGTGGGGAAACAAACGCCTGAACGTCGTCCCACGTCTAATAAGCACGATACTCGGAATTGTTGTATTAATTTTCTACCGCGTAAATTTCTCCTTCGACTTCCGCAGCAGAATTTACACTTTACTGGAGTTAAAACTAATCTTTTTATCGATAAATTTATATTTTTTACATTATGATTTTTTTCTCTCCGTAAAAAATTAAGATAGAATCAAGAATCAATAATTTTTTTTTTTTTTAGATACAACTTGATATTAACTGTATTCTACTAGATGTTATTTACTATTTTATTACACATATTGCGCGCATGCATAAAGCACGTTCTCATAAAGCACATTTCAGAATCTCGGAGCATGACGACAACGGAATATGCATGTAAGAAATATTTCGCTTGCCTGTTATATTTCTTCATACATTGTTATATTTATCACATAGTCGGATATATCTACTCTAATGATGGAAAAATTCTAGCTAAAACTACTTATCATTATTTTTCAGAGTGAGGAAATTACCAAGGAAAACTTTCCACTTTGTTTTTTTTTCGACCGACTAATTTGTGCGAAAAATAGCAAAACGGGTTAATTTTGTTTTCGAGAGGGACGAAATAGATCCCCTCGAGAGCAACCTTTGAGAATTGACCTGTTTTCGGTATTTTTCGTATAAATTAGTCGGTCGCAAAATAGAAAAGATGGAAAATTTTCGCAATTTCTCTTATATATTTTGTCTGCATTAGAGTATTTTTAAACTAAATTTACAAATATTCAATAGGTATAATTGTTATCTCACTACATAAATTGGTTCCTCGTCGTGCTCGTATTTATACTTGCCGAACGGCTGGTGGTTGTGAATATTGTTCACTGCCATGTACGCGTAGACGCGGGGGTTTCGCGTTCCGGGCACGTAGCGCCCGTATCGGGACAGGATGAGGGCTAAAATGGGATTGGGTGGTGGATGTAGCTTGCTGTTGTAGCTGTCGTCATTCAGGGTACGGCTCAAGAAGCGATCGAGGGCCTTGATGGCCGCCGTTAGGTCTTGCGGCCTGCGATGATAGTAGTACGCCGTCGACTCTGCTTTCTCACGATATGGTAGTTTACTGTCATCCAACTCCTCCGTCAGATATTCGTCAAGCACCTCAATATTCTGATATCCCCGGACACCTCGTGGTCCCGATAACATCGTCGTCGTCGTCGTCGTCGTCGTTGGCGGCGGAGGCGATGACGATGTTCTTGGCACTGTCGCCGAAAGCCAAACGTCGTTCTGGTGAATTTCCACGGGGAACCTTGTCAAATGCCGAAAAGAGGATATGTATGTATGAGGATATACATAGTACGTGCAATTTTTACGAGAAAATCCGCGAGATTTCTCATCTTGACTAGTCAATATGTATTATATTTTGTAATCCTGTCAATCTAAAAGATATTTTGCAATCTGACAAAGTATTTTCGGTTATATTTCAAAATTTTATTTATATATTAGATTTATAAATCTTATTTGAGAATTATTGGGAAAGAGATTTATTGCTAAAAGTTTAAAACTTGCGATGATTTCTGGATTGCTTGCTAAGAAAAAATCGAACATTATTTAAAATATTTCGTTGAAGCTTTGTACAAGACTTTCAAAATATCTCTTTATATTTTGCATATAAATACATTTACTAATTTCTTCATCATTCTAAATTTTCACATAATTGTATAACAAATGATAGAGTGTTAATACCTTTGAGGGCTTGTTTGCAACTTTTGCTTGTGATTATTCAAAGTTGATGCAGATTGCAGTCCCATTGGACGTTTTGCCTGTAGATCTCTGGAGAACGCAAGCTTCTCGAGTTCGCTGTCGGTTGCATGATTATCGTACTGATGATTCGGATGTTTCGGAAACGGAGCGCTCGTAGTCGGCAGATAACTATGCCACGGACGCGGTATATTTGGATCCAAAGATGCCTTGCCCACTAATATGGCACTCGTCAGGCAGACGCGTGTCACCTACATTTACACGAGGGGATGTCTGTTAGCGTATTTGTTTGTCTTTCAGAAACGCATTCTTGTCGTGCCGTTATACAGATCAGTGCTTAGAGCAGCGGCACAATGCCAGATTTGTTTTCGGACCAGGGTCGATGCACTCAAGCACTCTGAGCAAAAATATACGACGACCAAGTTCACGATATCAATAATAGTTTTTGAAACTATTAGATCAATTTCGGAATTTTTTGTGGAAGGCTTTACAATCTTTAAATGTTTAATTATTAAAGTTATTAACAAGTTGGGGTACAATATTATAATAATGGAAAAATTTCACATTTTGATTAGCATCGCATTAATACGCATTCTATCATAAAATCGCCGTACTTTATCGTTATTTTATTTAAGCTAAGATTTACACTGATATTATTGTACGTCACCGCGTCACAATGCACCGAGTCGCGAAATGTTCACGGAGATGTTTCGGAACTTTCGTTACCAGGCAGACAATGATTTTGTCGACGACGGCCATCCTCCTTCTACTCCGTAAAAAAGACTAAAACGGCAGCACGCACTTCGCGCACCATTTATACAGCGTGTTGTCGCGTCCGCTTAAGAGCCAAGTCTTGTCTCAGCCAGGAAATGCGTAAAGCGTGTAGTCTCATCTCTTTTCTTTACGGAGATTTCTACGCTTTCCCCCTTTTCTGTGTCAAGACCGTACGCGCTATTCACGAATTGCGAAGTGTTATTAAGAACTTTCCTTTTGTCTCAAAGATACTGGCGCAGGACGAATACTGCATAAAGAATAACTCCCATTTCATTTAAACTTCTTTTGCTAGGTTTTATATTGCTAAAACGGCGGACTTTTTGTCAAGCGAATTGCAAATGTATTTTAAGAACACGATTTACAATCGCAAATATTATTGTTTAAAGAATTAAAGAAATAATTTTTTTATACAAGAGAAAAAAATTTCAACATTTGCATTGCGATAATTAATGCTAATTTTCGATGTGGAAAACAATAAAATATTTACGCAAACATTTGCAATAGCAAATTGTTGAACAATCTCATGCAATTGTGATCATTGTGCGTTGAATTAATTAAAAAATAATTATAAATATTAATTATTAATTTTTAAGTGTCGTTTAAATGATAAAATTAAATTAATTTATTCATTACAGTAACATGATACAAAAGCTGACAACAGGTAGATTTCAAAATATAATTTAATTTATTATTAAACATATTTTTATTTTTGCAGATATAATTTTATAGGCTCTTATTATTTTGTTGCGTTTTAGTTTGCATTCTTTTTCCAGAGTGCACAATGTTCCGGTCTTGGAAGAATAAAGAATGAAGGTTTTAAATACCTCTGAATGACCTCTGTAGCCGTACTATGTAACCTCTTCTCTTTCTTTCTCAAACCGACTATTGGTACCACGGTGTAAGAATATAAGGTAATTTCACGACCATTGGCCGGTATTCATAGTCCGTTCTTATATTTAAGGTTGTCTTAAGCACGGACTTATATTCGCTCTCTTCGTCACACATAGATTGTGTCTGACAAAGAGAGCGAATATAAGTTCGTGCTTAAGACGATCTTGAATATAAGAACGGACTATGAATACCGCCCATAGTATTCTATCAATAAATCTGTGATCAAGATGTCATAGTTAAGGCATGTCACACAAGATGTCACGTTGGTGCAAGATCCCAAGTAAAAAAGGATAGAAGATGTGGATAGATGTGGATAGAAAAGGATAGATGATGAATCTCTAAAGCACATCTATATATAATTATAGTCCTAAATAATACAAATTTTTTAAAATAAAACTTTTAACATTGTGTATAAAAATATATATTACTAACAAAATATTTTTTTATTTTTTTATAACAAATTATTCTTAGTTAAATTTGCAGAAAAAATAATTAATAATGTATTTCAGTCTTTATAGAAAATTAAGTTTCTTTAAGAAAATGAATATTTATAATTAAGTTCCGCAGGACAATAAAATTTCTATATATATATATATATATATATATATTTAAAGTCCTTCAATACGCGTAGCCACCTAGCGGTTCAATGTGGAACAATGACAGGAAAATCACAAAAATTTGTTGCCGTGAAATCACCTTATATTCTTACATTGTGATTGGTACGCAAATAATGATAGTTTTATTGATTTTATTAGGTTTAGGGTCTATCTGCATATTTCCAACATGTGACTAGATACATCAAGCAATACACACACGTTTCACCAGAGAGAAACCTGAGAGGGGCCACGGTGCCGTTTTTCGTACGACGCTTTTACTAGGCCATACACTAGCGGCGCGTAAATCCATTTTACAGCCTGCCTGGAACTACATGGCCACATCCATTTTCCGAGATGGTAAAAGAGCCCTGGTTGGTTCATGTCCGTGTTACATCCATTTTCCGGGATGGTAAGAGAGATGCGAACTCGAGCTCCATGCAACAGGCAACGTGAGGGGCAGGGCCCCCACCATACGAGCACCACACAAGCGAGAACGTCACGCGTCCGTGTGTGTTCGGCCGTAAATATATTCAGTATTTTTTTCTAGAGTTATTAATTTAACATATGCAAATATTTTTAATAAATATAAAATAATATTTTTTAGCAAAAAAACATTATCTAATTATTTATTTGATTGTGCACAGTTAGAAAGAAAAGCGGAAATGCGGAAAAAAGTTGCAAAAAGCAGGCCTCGAACGCGTGATGTTTAATATTCTAGCGCGACTCGCCTTACTCGATTAGGGTTGTTTTCCAGCAAAGGACACAAGTTGACACAAATCGACACAAGTATCACTCTGTCTTTGTTCGATATTCAATGAGCAACAGAGAGAATAATACTTTTGTGTCGCTTGTGTCTCTTGGTGGAAAACTACCTAGAAACGCTTGGTTCTTAACATTTATCGTACGCTGTGTCGACCGAACGGCCGAACACACACGGACGCGTGACGTTCTCGCTTGTGTGGTGCTCGTATGGTGGGGACCCTGCCCTTCACGTTGCCTGTTGCATGGAGCTCGAGTTCGCATCTCTCTTACCATTCCGGAAAATGGATGTAACACGGACATGAACCAACCAGTAGCGGGATTCTGTAATGTTGACGATGTCGTTATGGTATCGTTGCGCAGCTATTACATGATACAAAAAACTTGCGCAACGATACCATAACGACATCGTTCAGGTCACAGAATCCCACTACAGGGCTCTTTTACCATCCCGGAAAATGGATGTGGCCATGTAGTTCCAGGCAGGCTGTAAAATGGATTTACGCGCCGCTAGTGTACGGTCTAGTAAAAGCGTCATACGAAAAATGGCAGTATGGCCCTTCTCAGATTTCTCTCTGGTTTCACACAAGACTGCGTTCCGATATTCACAGCCAGCGCTAAAATCTATAGTTGTATAGTTCATCTATAGTTCACGTTACGTACACTGTAGTATTTCGGTACTGGCAGTGAATATCAGAACGCAGCCAAAGAATGGCATCTTAGGTTCTTGAGAACGTGCCTTAAGTGTCACGTTTACCTTCCCGCCAAATTTCCATCTCAGCATGGTTTAATATTGGATACTTTAATTTATCCACGCATCTTATGTACATTGTGTGTTTTTGTAATTAATTAAAGAAATGGAAACTGGTCCTGCACTAGTCAATCGAGCACATGTGCGGGATGAGGTGGGAATTAAATGTCAAAAACTGTTCCAAGATTTTCTTGAGGAGTAAGTAATTATATATTAAGTTAAATCTTCAGCATCATATAGGAGCCTTTAATTTAATTTATTCGAATTAAACGTGAAAATTAATAATATTATTAGTATAGTATTGAAATTTTACATGCTTTATTAGTTATAATTATATCACTACTATAGATTCAAGGAAGATGGAACTGTTAAATACCTGGAACCTGCTAAAGAACTTGTCAGTCCAGAACGATGTACATTGGAAGTATCTTTTGAAGATGCAGAATCATATAACCAAACTTTGGCTACAACCATAATAGAGGAATACTATAGGTATGATCTGTCTTTGTTCTATCAACTTTAATGTGATTGTATTATGTACAAACTACAATACATATGTTTTAAGTATGATATTGTCCTTTGTATCATTGATGCACTTATTTATTTAATTAACTAAATATAAATCTTGTATTTCAGGGTCTTTCCATATTTATGTCAAGCAGTATGTAACTATGTGAAAGATACAGGAGATTTACAAAAAGATAAGGAATGTTATGTCAGCTTTGTGGATGTGCCTACTAGACATAAGTTAAGAGAATTAAACACATCACGATTGGGTACTTTGGCTCGTATATCTGGACAAGTGGTGAGAACACATCCTGTTCATCCAGAGTTAGTTCTTGGCACATTTATTTGTATGGACTGTAACACATATATTAAAAACGTGGAGCAGCAATTTAAGGTAAATAAAAGAATTTTATTCTATATGTTATATAAATTTGAGTAGTTGTAGCTAACTAACTGATTGTTTTCAGTTTACAAATCCGACAATTTGTACTAATCCAGTATGTAACAACAAACGCCGCTTTCTGTTGGATATGGATAATTCAGTATTTATCGATTTTCAAAAAGTAAGAATACAAGAGACACAAGCTGAGCTTCCTAGAGGTTCCATACCTCGCTCTGTGGAAATTATTTTAAGAGCTGAAATGGTTGAGTTGGTGCAGGCTGGAGATAGGTAAGTTTTAAAATAAATAATTTTCTCAACTATTACTCAGTTATTAAAAGTTACGTATTTTTGTTTTTACAGATACGATTTCACAGGTACTCTTATAGTGATACCAGACGTGGGAGCACTGTCTCTACCAAGCGCTAAGGCAGAAATTGGTCCACGAAACAGGAATACAGAACAGAGAGAGGGTGTAAGTGGCCTTAGGGCTCTTGGTGTCAGGGAACTATCATATAAAACAGCATTTCTGGCTTGCAGTGTTACAGCTACTAGCTTAAGGGTGAGAAAAATTAACAAGTACACAGAATAAAATACACTAGTATTAAAAAAGTAAATATTTATTTGATTAATGTTATATTTCTACAGTTTGGAGGTACAGATATGGCAATGGAGGAGATCTCACAGGAAATGATGAAGAAACAAATGTCAGAAGCGGAATGGAATCGCATCTACGAGATGAGTCGCGACAAGAATCTTTACGAGAATCTTGTTACCAGTCTGTTTCCCGCGATACACGGTAATGACGAAATTAAGAAGGGAATCACATTGATGTTCTTTGGTGGTGTACCGAAGACTACTGAGGAGGGCACATCGTTAAGAGGGGACGTCAATGTCTGCATCGTCGGTGACCCCAGTACTGCAAAGTCACAATTTCTGAAATGTGTGGCCGATATCTCACCCAGGGCAGTTTACACGTCTGGAAAAGCGTCGAGCGCAGCTGGTTTAACGGCCGCGGTAGTGCGAGACGAAGAATCTGCGGACTTTGTCATAGAAGCTGGAGCGTTGATGCTCGCGGATCATGGTATCTGTTGCATCGACGAATTCGACAAGATGGATCCGAAAGATCAGGTCGCGATTCACGAAGCTATGGAGCAACAGACGATTTCGATAGCTAAGGTATATAAAGTTTGCGGTAATACAACAAAGAGTTTTATGTTTCATAATTTATGTATTTTTTATGTTTTTTTTTTAGGCTGGTGTGAGAGCGACTTTAAATGCTCGAACGTCTATACTAGCGGCAGCAAATCCTATCAATGGACGGTACGATAGGAGAAAGTCGTTGCAACAAAATGTGCAATTAACTGCACCTATTATGTCAAGATTTGATTTGTTCTTTGTTGTGTTGGATGAATGTAATGAAATCGTCGACAATGCAATTGCCAAGAGAATTATAGATTTGCATTGCGATAATCTGAATGATCTTCAAATGGTGTACAAGCAAGAAGAGATTATTAGATATATCAATTTTGCCAAACACTTTAAACCGATTTTAAGTCAGGTAAAATAATGTAAATTATTTATTATAATAAATTAAATTATTATCGTCAAACTTGTTTGATTAAATTTATCAATTTTTTTTAGGAAGCTGCCGATCTTTTAGTCGAAAGTTATACGGTTCTCAGACAGAGAACCGGAAGCGGAAGCGGCAAGTGGAGAGTTACCGTAAGGCAGTTAGAGAGCATGGTTCGATTGTCCGAAGCGTTGGCGAAATTGGAATGCGTGGACGAAGTAACAGTGAAACACGTCAGAGAAGCGAAACGATTGTTACAGAAGAGTATAATTACGGTAGAACAGCCGGATGTAGACCTTGAAGAAGGAATGGGCGATGGAAATTTGGAAATGGACGTTGACGAACCACCACCACTCATGGCAGCGTTGAACGCATTAGGCGATAATAATGATGCACCACCTCCAGCACGTAAGTTTATATAATTTCTTTTCTTATTTTTATACAGTGCATGTTGCATACGTTTTTTACATTTTTCAGCGTCTAACGGAACGCAAGAGCTACCGAAAAAGAAACTAACGATGTCCTTTGAGGAGTATAAAAATCTGTCGAACATGTTGATTCTTTACATGAGAAACGAGGAAAATCGTGTCGAGAGCGAAGGTATTTTTCTTACGATATTAAAAACAACAATATCATGTAAATTCAAATTCGAATTGTATATGATTATTATTATTATGTAATAACTTATTTATTAAATTGGCATAATATTTTTTAATTGTATAACAGATGATAATAAGGGAGGTATACGGAAGTCTGAGTTAGTGGCATGGTATCTTGATCAAATACAAGATCAACTAGACTCGGAAGAAGAGTTGTTAGAACGGAAAGGTTTCATTGAAAAGATTATTGATAGATTGACGTACCACGTATGTATTGATATCTTTATATATAATTAGGATTTTATAACAAGTTATTGAACGATTTTAATCTTAGGATCAAATTATAATACCTCTAACAACAACTGACTTGAGAAGCAGAGATAAAGAAGAAGAAGAAGAAGAAGCGGATCCTCTACTCGTTGTTCATCCCAATTATGTTATGGATATTTAATTATATACGCATTGTGCATACATTATATTCCGTCATGATATAATTGCCTTGATGAAAAAGAGTATAATTTACTTTTTCTTGCAGGAAATTGCAGACTAGAAATATTTTTTATCTTAATCTATAGCCGTCATGTTTTTTTTACTTGCGTTCTGTGAATATTATAAACTTTATGCCATGTGACGATGATTAAAATACATTTTTACATTATTTCAGCGAAGTATCTGCTTTTTCTACTCCAACTAAACGCATTAACATGAAAGGTTATGCATAACTCATTTACTGCGTGACTTCACGTATTTATCATTGTTCGTGTGAACTGCATGAAGAAATTAATTTGAATTACATGATATGATGAAATATGAAGATTTTATGAACACAGATCTTTTTTATAATTTTATCAACAGGTTTTATAAATTTTCCACTATTTTCCACTATTTTTCACTTTTCAAGGATGCAAAACAGGAAACATACTTATTATTTATTTAAACGCAATATTATTTACGCGTGTTATCATAAAAGAAACAATATCCTCGACTTGGGTCTATTTCAATACTATGCTAATTACTATGGCGTAAGTAATGCTAACTAACACGCATTTTAATGTATGCATCAGAAAGTGAAGCGTTCTAGATAGAACGCAGAACTGCAAAAGTCAGTCAGTTGTGCAGCCAGTGATGCTGTTCTTTATCAGCTCGATTGTCACCGTTTTAGTTGTAGCAGTAATATCGAAAGAAACGTTTACATATGCACAGTTTATTTTTATATTTTTAACATAATGAATTTTTACACCCAATAAAAATTCACAAACACTTTTACTTTAGGAACGTTCGTTTAAAAATATAAACGCATACGATCAATCTTTTTCATTTTATTGAATTTTAGAAAATGTTCATTATTTGTTATATGCAATAATTCATGTTGGGATTTGATTATTTGATTAGATTCAAATTGATTGATTGTACGCGATCAGTAAAACGTGCTATATCAGTGCATTTATCAGCAGTTTTAATGTGACGACAGCATAGCACGTGGTTTTATTACTGTTCAAATGTACACAAAGTGTGTCGTAAATGTGCTAATTGTCTATGGTGGGGGTATTCTGTGATTAAGAAGGAAGGAGAAGAAAAAAAGCTACTTTACTATCATATGATTTTAATATTACACATTCGCCAGTTCGCACGATGTCTGCAAGAAAGTTGCCAATAGCTGAATTGCAACAAGTGAGCATAATATAAAATTTAACGTATACATTATTTGAGTCTATATAGTGCAATGTTGATGGTGTATTCGTAATGATCTCCTAGATTACTCTATCTTGATAATTTCTATTTGTACTACAGCTTCTGTTAAAAAGAGAGTATAATGCTAACAGTTGCATTCATTGTTGTTCTTCATCACTAATTTCATATTTTATTACATTCATAGTTTATATATACATATTTTTTTATTGCAAACAAAATATATTTTTTGTGTAGATTGGTTTGTTTGAATATAAATAATGATGTTTTTATAATAAATCGTACTTTTAGCTATAGATTACTCTATTAATGTGATACAAAATTTTGTCGTAAAAAATTTAGCGATATAATCGCCTTTTATTCAACTTTTTTCTAGAAAAAATGTATACATTTATTCACAAATCTGTAGGAAAAAACATGGGTACCATTCGCAGGCGATTTCGCAATTTTGAAGGACTTCTTTGCGCGCAAGGAGCGGCCAATTTGGAGCGTAGTGCAATTATTTGAAATTTTTCTGCGTGGATTCGGACAAGTAAGTAATAAATCTAATTTATTACAGAATATTCAATATAATATTGTGATTTATATAATTTATAATTCAATTTACAGACAAAGCTAATATAAAGATAATTATGTAAGTTTTGTATTATAATTGTGTATTAAATATATTACAATCGCGATAATTCTATAAGAAAATTGCATGAAAAAATAGTTTATTTCTCGCACTAATATCAATAATTCTGTTATTCTTATTTAAAAAAATATAAAATATAAACTATATTAAATTACATTTATATTATATTTATAAAAAATTACTTTGTCATTCTTTTAATATAAAAGAATGTTGCATGCTATTTTATAAAAATTGAAAATAATTTTTATCGAAAAAAAGTATTTGTTATAGCAATAAAAGTGGGTTACTTTTTCGTATGTCGCTCTGTTTCATCGGAAATATCGCGGAATTGCTATGCGTATCTTTAATTAACGTTGATTGGCTTGATTAACGTTGCAGATCGTTTTTTCGAATAATCCTCTCAGCGGGTTGCTGATAATAGTTACCTTGGCTGCGGTAGCGCCAGGTACATTGGCGTTGTCTGCAACCACCGCCGGCCTTGGCCTCCTGCTGTCCGTGGTATGTTTTATTAATTATTAGCCGCAGTGTCAAGCGGATCCGTTCTTGCCGAAAAGGTGTAATACATTTCTTGCCGCACTGCGCAGTCATTTCCGCAGACTCGGACACTCATTTCTACCGTTGCTATTCATACGTGACGGTACATCGTGACGCTTGCGCTATCTTTTTTTCATCTCTTTCGGACCTAATGGACCATTTGCGTGCACACGAGGAAAAATCACTGCAATGCGGTACACTGCCCTTCGCTCGGCAGCGAAGAGAATTCCAACGCGGATCTTTTTTTCACTGCGAGCACGCGCGCGAAATACTTTGCGATACGGCACTTTATTTGTAGCTTTTCGTTCTTTTGCAGCTTATACGAGAGCCTGAGGTTATTGTAGAGAACGGATTAAGCGTATACAATCCCCTGCTGGTCGGTGCAGTATCCTATGTTCTAATACCGCAGATTTACGGTACCTTTGATGCCTTCAGCTTGCTGCTTGTGCTCTTAGCGACGATACTCAGGTATATCCAAGTATTCCATATGGAGTATTTGGTAAACATTCTGATGTGAAATGATAAACCGTTTTTCCTGTTCCATTATGTTACCTTAATGGTCGTAAATTGCGCGATTATATTAACTCGGAATATATACGTACGGGCGCAAATGATGAACGGTTAGTATGCTTCCGACAACTAACAGACAAATTCGTAATTTCGGTTCGATGTAGGTTGCATGAAATATGCAATATATTGTCATATAAGGTAATAAATTATTGATCGTTAAGCAATGTCCTGACGGTGATCTTAACGTTTAATTAAATCAAAATGTGCATTGATTGAACGCAATTTGATAATAATATCGCGCGTGTATTATGAAAGGGAATAATATAGATCTTATACACGTTATAATAATGCCTCGAGCTAGAATATGTATTTAACGCAGACAATTTGTGTAGAAACTAAATGCATTGTGATAGTCTGTTTGAGATTCAAGATACTCTCGAAATAGTTGGCGACGGTGGATTATGCGGCAAACGGAGTTACGAGAGTTAGCCGCAATTCACTCGTCATCCAGTGCAGCTGGCGGCGTTCGCAAATTTCAGCGATGTTTTCAGCTCCTGGTTAATGTTTTCCAGTGTTTATCTCGCACGGTCCCTGAGAAGCGATAAATTCTCGTGCACAACGTGGCCATTTAACCTGGTGGAGTTCGCGTTGATTTTCGTCCTTTCGACGCAGAACGGCGCGGACGTAGTAGCCAAATCTGTGAAACCAATATTTGAGATGGTAAATTAGTTTTACGTTACATATGTGAAACATTTTGCATCTTACATATATACATTTCATTATATAAAATTACCATAAATTTTTCAATGAGAAAAGACGAAATACGGTAGAGATATATGAAATAAGTTTGAAAATCTTATCATTTCGTGATTTATAACATTAATGGAATAAAATTTTTGCTCAAAGGAGTCAAAATGAATAACAAAATCCTTATTTGAAAAGGATAATCTTCTTAAGTATACAATTTCGTGGGAGGAGAAAAGGTTTTGCAAGATTTATAGAAAGTAAATACATCAAAGACATTTTATTTTGACAGTGTTACACTTGTTTAAAACAACAGCAAATGAGCGATTGATCAAAGTCTTAGGGATTCTTAGGGATAAAATGAGGATAAATTGATGAGAAGAGGGCAGACAATTCGGCGCGCGGTAAAATTGGAAAAGCGATCTCAATATTCAGACCATACATATTTGACGTGTACGAGGGAAAACGCTGTAGGGTCGGAGCATGGCTTTTCTCCGTATTGATCAAACTCCTGCCCGAACTCCGATAACTTAGCTCGGCTCGGATTTCATTTCACCCTAACTAGTTACGCTTTGTTTGTTTTAGTTAAATATTAAGGGGATTCTTTTTCGTGTATTTTTCTTCTTTTTGTACGTTAGAGTTGTACGCTATTAGTAAACAGCACTATAACAGAATATTTGAAAATACTGCGCGTTGTGTGGGGCGACCGCGTATGCGTAAATATATTAAATGTTACGACGTACGAACGTGCTATTATGCCAGCCGCGTGTATCCTCGCGATAATGCGAAAAATTAACCATGCTCTCATACGACGTAGATAAACTTCGCGATTTGTACGAATATAACACCCGACCGTAAGCAGCGGAATTTGTGAAAATCCGCAGCTGCGTGGAAAGGTGCCGTCTTTTTTATGAGCAAAGTTTTTGCCTCGCGTAACAAAAATTTACGGCTAGAGTCGATACGAGGCGGAACATAAATTACTTTCCTGTCAAGCATATTTCATCACAAAATAGTTTGAATCTTTGCTTCCTCTTTAGTCTTGTCGAAAGACTACCCTGTGCATTTCTCTATCATATGCAGGTTATTGTGCAAGACTCTCTCATTGTTTTCAGCACAATGCAACAAGTGCGACGGCGACGACGGACGGCGTCGATTTCTGTCTACAGAATGCGACCAACGTTTGCGACGACTGGGGAATGGTAGAAATTTATTTGTGTTCTACTTTCGCAACCTTGATTTTGCATATGTTATCATTTCGTAGATCTTTTTAGGAGTATAATAAAGCTTTGTTAGATTTACAGTCACTTTTTAATATACAGACTCTGATTATTTCTCTGAATATTGCAAATATGTCATGTATCGCAATAAAATCTCTCTGCAGTATATGTCGATAAACTTTCAAATGTAATTGTTTGCATTGCGATTTCGTTATATCGAGTTTTCGATATAAATTGGTATAGTCGCTGAGTAGAAGAGCCCGTTGAAACGTGTTTCATTGAATACCGTAACAAATATTGGTGTTTATGGCAGCAGAATTTCCTTAACAACGGCTATTGGAATTATTGGAACGTATAAATAAAATGGAATAAATATATTTGCCTCTGTTAGGGGAAATGTTGCACAAAATATATGAATAAAGATATCAGTTTATTGCTTGCGCTCGAAATTAAATTATGTTTCAGATACTACGAGGTAGCGTTGTTTCCGCATCGCAGTTGTTTGGCGTCGATAATGTGATTCTTGGATCCGTTTTGTATCTGGCAATAATAATATATTCGCCGGTGACAGTCGTGTTTTCGTATTTCGGCGCTTTCTGCGGAACTTTTGCAGGTATTTAGGTTATTTTTTTCTTCTAGAAATATGTATTACACAGAAGAGTGCAGACAAGGAGAAACGGGAGAGATCATTAATCTCGTTATACGATTAAAGTGTGTAGTTAACGGAGCGTAGTGAATAAGCGTGAAATTTCTCAGTGCGAATATTCTCAGCAGAAGCTAGCTCCAAGAACATTTGTTTTGAGATAAAAGAGCGTGAAGAGAACATAAATTATCGTCGTCATAAATCTTTCGTTAGGCTGGGATCTCGGGGCGGACTATCGTTTGGTCTACAGTGGAATGTGGGGATACAACAGCCTTCTGACCGGGGCTGCTCTGGGAGGCAACCTGCTGGTGCTAAACGGTTATACGGTCGCTGCCACTATCATGGCGATCATTTTTACTTCGCTCCTGCAATATTCCATACAATCGATATTTATAAAAGTAATTGCCTTTCTTTCTGCACGGCCGATTTATACGTCTTGCGAACTTCTAACATTATGTTGCAGATGCAGTTACCGGTATTGGCACTGCCGTTCGTCATAGCGACTTCGTTATTCATGAAACTGAGTGGCGGCAGCGATGATCCAACGTTTCCGTGGCCTACATCGATTTCCTCCCCCGAGAAAGAGCGTTATCGTTATCTCGCTCGTCGTGCATTTCAAAAAGTATGTTTTTCTAGATTTTTTTTGCACACACACTCTCTTTTTACATAAATGACATTTTAAATGTAAAATTTTTGGTGATAGAGGTCGGAACAAATGACATACTTTATCACTGTGACTTACATCGAATTCCATCGTGGCGAGATGCTCAAACGTGATTTACCGTTGAAACTTCTCTTGCGATAAGATAGCTCTCAGAACCCATCAAAACCACGCCCTACAAGAAGGACAGAAATTGATTTCCGCCCTACTCTTAGCTTATGCGTAGCTATAAGTTGTCTTCCCAACGAGCTGCGAGCTAAAAATTTTAATACTGGAATTTGTAATGTGTCATGCGATTATTATAATGAATAACTGGGACACTACAGAAATTAAATTGAGAAATTCGTTGAAATTGAACACAGACGAAATTATTACATTTATATTTCTTATTATTAGATTTTATTATTTTAATTTTTTAACCATATTTAATTATTTTGATTATTATATTTTTATTAGAAGTAATCTACAAGTGTAGATTAAGTGGCAAATCTAGAGTTATATATGTATGTGAATTTGTGCTTTGTTGTAGGAAGATGTGCCGGAAGAACCTGAACTCGTTATCCAGAATGGAAAGGGCACTTCTGGCGAATAATTAATGGATCATCTCTGAGTGATATAATTACAGTTTAGTGTTACATAGTAGACGGTAATTTTAAGCGTTTTGTATCGTCTAAATCGTCTAAAATAATCTCCGATTATATTTAAATATTTATACAAATGTATATGTATACTTCGTGAGCCATTGATTATTTATTAACATGACTGAACTTGTTGTATATTTCCAGTAACAGTCTTGGATTGATGTAGCGCTAACCAAGTATCCAATAACCAAGTTTACTATCTATATCTCTTTGAAAAAGGAAAGGAATGTTTTCTCTCGATCCACTCGCTCGAAACAGATAAAAGTATTCTTGCAAAGTTCACGAACATAAATGCCCATATATCTCTCAAGCACCATTGAATGCTAAAAACAATCAGGCTTGTAAAAAGTAACATAAGTAGATATAGATATTTTGTTATACCTTAGCATGATTTTAGCAAATAGTAAAACACATTTATAACTTCTAGAAACATCCATAAAAGAAGCTACATATGAAAAAAAACTGCTCTGCATTCAGAAGTAAAAGATTTAAAAATTGCAAAGAACGTGATGAAAATTTGCTAAAACGATTCGATTTCAAAAAGGACCGTATTTGTTAATCTATGCACGTACACTCTCTTTTTCTTATGCAATTGATGTCCGCGGAACATCTCTGATTTTACCTAGATTCTTCGTCACGTTTCCAGATAACGGCGTACGTGCTAATCGCCTTATCTCTTATCGGTGATTCAAAAATACGCCGGGCGAGAGGGTGGTATAAAGGCTTCGTTAGCGGAACAGTTTTCATTCGGCGGATCGTCTTTAATGAACGTACGAAAAGCTACAAGTCGATCGATAAAATTTATTTCCACCACTTCCGTCATCGAAAATCGTAAATTTTACCACTAGATTTTTATCGCGCGTTTCATGACACAAAATTGTAGCGGGCGAGCCGTATGAAGCTTTATCGCTTATCGCTGCTAGATTTCAACTCGTGCTGTTATTCGACGACAAGCAGTCGTGAAATGTAAGACGCGCGTAGAACTTTCCGTATAGAGAAGACTAGTCTGGAAATTTTGCAAAAGCGAATCCACGAGAGATCGTGTCGAGGACGTTTTAACAATGGCGAGGCCAGCCCGAGGCACTGCCTCCGCACCAACCTAATCAAACTAACCGAGAAGAGCGTCTTACTGCTCGCCACACAATTCGCTTCGGTCAGAGAAAGGGCGCTAATGAAAAGAAAGTAGGGCGAGAGTTCTGGTCCCTCGCGCGATCGTTACTTCGAACGTCATTTTTTATTTTAATCCGCAAATCGATATCGAAATTCGCTCAATCTCGGCGTCTCGTATTAACGGGAGAAATGCGCTGTGTAATATGTTTTGATGCTATTACAATGTGGGATTTTACGTTCGTCTGGTATTGCGATCTATTTTTACAACATAACTGCGCCATTGCAGTAAGCAATAAAATGATTTATATCTCGATAAGTTCAGTTTAACACAGATTATTCTAGCTTTCTCAGCAAAATCGGGTCTTCCACCAATGGTGCGGTGAAATTCACTGTGTTTCACTGTGTTATATACGTCATTCTGTTATAATTAACAATATTTAGTAATTTACTGTACACTAAAAAGCAATTTGCTATTTCCGGAGTAATTAAAGGTTAATAATTACTTTTATTTCCGACATTAACATGCTCGCTGACAGAGTGGTGAGAATGTTATATGCATTAATAAGCTTTAAATTTAAATTAAATTTGTTAAATTTAATTGATTAAAGTAAAATTTATACGAAATTAAATAAGTTAGTAAATTTTTTATCATTTATTTGCAATTTTTGAACATTTTTAATACTCAAACGTTTGCGCTGCAAAAGGTATCAATTCTTTGATACTTTAAGAAAACTTTTCTAGTTAATCTTCTTCTGAACATTTTTATTACGGAGAAACCGCGCAAGACCAATTAGCACAGAAACCCATATTTTAAAGCCATTAAAACTGACACATTTGCATATTGAATAAAACTTGTACGAAGAAGTGAGGAATTTGAAGAGTAAACATCTCGGTTCGTTGGCACCCTTAGAGTCCAGCTTAGAGTCGGGAGAAGGGAGAAGAGTCCGTTGGTGTGACGACGGCGCCGACGTCGGTGATGGTGGTGGTAGATGGTGGTGGTGGTGGCGGCGGCGTCGGTGGGAAGGGGTAGGGCTGAACGCATCCCTGCCAGAGCGACTACCTGCCCGCCGCCAACCCTGTCCGCTCCACGACGCGTCCCCAGTATTCGGGCGATCGCTAGCACCCGCGCACGCGACATCCCTTCATCGGGGGTGCGCGCCGCCGTACTTATATGTGTATGTGTGCGTGTTCGCCGTAAGTGCGGGGCCGCGGCAGCCAGCAACGTGGGGTTAGCGTGACGTAACCCCCGCGTGGCACTCTTAATCGCTCGATCAACCCGCGTGCCCGTGCCGTGAGGGTGTACGGGGGTGCCTAGAAGCGTCACGACCTCTCCGCACGAGACCTAGCCGGACCTCCAGTCAGCATCCGCGAGATGGAGAGTAATGTAGCGTCGCAGTAAATGAGCCGAGGGGGTGCGAGTAGTGAGTAGTACATGAGCGGTATTATTGCGGCAAGCAATAGCGCTCGTGTGTGTTGTGTACATCACAAGTTATTCATATTCGCGTGGCACCAGAGAGAGAGAGAGAGAGATTTGTTACGTTTCGCCTCAGCCTTTGGCTTTCTCTCTTTGCTTATCGCATTTGCTTCATTTCTCTCTTCCCCTTTGGAATCTGTCTCTTTTTTTCGAAGAAACAAAATTTAATCATCAAATGCACTCACGCTCGTGACGTTCTCATTACGTGGTCCGAGCTCCATGTCAGATTGTAATCTGCGATTCTTTCAAATACACAAACATACTCTCAAAAGATTTCTTTCACAGAGAAAAAGCATTCTGAAGGTAAAAGAAAGATTTATTTATGATTGCGATGTCTTGTTTTGTAAAAGTTTTGCATCGTCTTTATATTTTATTTCTCTTCATACTTACGTTCGGCTATCCTCTCGTGTACGTTTTGTTTCGGCGTTTCTTCTCACTTACGAGATACCATGTGTACCTTCGGAATAGTTTTATATCTTCTCTTGTTCCCTGGAGAGATGCGGAAAAGGTTCGTCGGCCGTATTTGGGATTTAAAGGATCGCTCGAAAAAACGAAGGCGACGTAAGCAGATTGGATGCTACGTCACGGTGTGACCCTAGCGAATAAATTAGGACAGTGTTCACAGAGATAGTCGAGGGGTAGTTTAAAGTCATCTCTCTCTCTCACTCGCTCTTTTATACTCGCACTTTCAGATATTTCAACTCGTGATATGGACAAAGTTGTGGAATCGTCGGGTGGCTCAAAGCGCGGGACAGTCCGCACGCAGTCCGATATTCTCGGCATAATCACGCAGTATTGACGGTTTTATGGTTAATCGGTTACCAAAGCGTATCGACTGCGCTAGCTGACCGAGTTGTCCAGCTGCTCTGACGCTGAATAGAGCAATTGAAACTAGAGCAATGATGCTCCAACGAGTTATTTCGCTCGCCCCTATCATTTACCGCTCTTTATGAAAAAAGTTATTCGGTGTATTTTCCACATTTAAATTAGAAGGATGTGCGATAATATATTTTAAGACAATAGAGAATACTCTAAAGAATTTTTAAAAATTTTTATTAAATTGAAAAAGACATGAAGAGAATGGATAGAGTTTTATATTTTCAAGATTGTAATTTCTCTCAGATTAATTTGTAATTACTGATAACGAATATTCTTGATACAGTGAGAGTAATATTTTCTTCAAGCTACAATGTAGAAGGAACAATGTGTATGACATAATTAATAGTGTGCTTTCTCGAAATACGCCGGTAAAATCGAGCTCAGTTATTTATCGGTCGTTAAAAATATTCTTAGAACGCTCTTCGGCAATATTTAAAAGAGAGCGAAAAATTATTAGATTTAAGCTATGTAAGAATCAAAGTTTTATCGGATATAAATTCAAATGTCGGTACAATCTCCCGTCGGTACTTTTCGAATATCAATATCCCATCTCAGAAGCCAATAATTTCGACGATAAAATCTTTCCAAGATTCACAATTTGAATCAAAGAATTCCCGTTTTCGCAATAAGCCCTTATTTTATTCCCTTATCTTGTACAGTTCAGAGATTTCGAGGGGTAAAAATCTCTCGCATTAAGTATTCTCGATTACCCGGGATAATTTCCTCACGAACCCCTCATGCTGTGTTCTAGCCGGGTATAGCTGCGTGTTTCGACCGTCCTTCGCATTGCGCCGCACGCAAGAACGGGGTCATTAGCTACGTAGGTAGTCGGAATGGGTCGAGGGAAGTCGCTCGAGTGGAAGCGAGCATTGTCGGTGTGATTTCGATTTCGAATCGGGAGTACGCGCAGCCAGGCCGGTCGATTTACCATTGCTACTCTAGGTTCTGCATGAGTACAGTGACAGCGTGATGCCTGGAGATCTCAGATCGAACCGGCGATTCGACAATTACACCGCGAGCGCGATTTCGTGTTTGCGAAACGCGGTACGCGAGGATTATATATCGCTGAATAATGCTCAAGTGCGCTGATATTTTAAAGGGTCGAAGGGCTTTGGAGTTTCTCGAGGACTCTTGAAGCGGCAGTAGTCAATCGTGAAATTGATGAGCGATTCGAAACTACTTTCCGCGGTAACTTTATCCGCAAAAAGAATGTGATAGACTGCAATAGATTTCACAATGAGAGACTAAGCGTAATGCAACACTAACGGGCAATATCGGGTTGCGGCTGCGTTTGATGCGGTATAAATCTGCACGAACAGTGGAGAGATCCGGCTGATCATCTCGTAAAGCGGATACTTGCGGAATTCGCGTATGATGGAAAGGCGAGCGCCGGCCAAGCCATTGGAAGAAATTTACGGCAACCGCGGGGAATCATTCGTTTCGTCGAGCACGGCGAATCATCTGATATTTGCTATCAGATAATGTACGGCCATCCTCGATAATGGAGCGATAATCCGATTGAGATTCGCATCGCAAAGCTGACCGTTACGATCGTAAACGGTTTGCTGAACATCGATTGTCCCTGGAAAAAAAAGAAGAAGAAGGAATCCAGACTTCTGAGCACGCACAAACGAGCTAATTGAGCGTGCGATTACATTTGCGGGATTCTTTTAACTCGACGAGTTTGCGGAAAAGCAACGACGGAGATGCAAAAATCGGAATAAACAAAAAGAGTTAACAATATTTTATCTTTCACTTAGTAGTAAGTAAAGAGGATCAAGTCAGATACTGCCGGCACGATGCTCATGTGAGTATCGGGATATTTATGTGAAATACGCCACACTGTGCTTGCCAAGAAATAGAGGGAGAAAAATCTTTCCCGCTCGCGAAAACGCAGAATCACTTTTGGGCGGAAGAAGAACGCGACGAAAGGCAGTTTCGTCGCAGTCGTCGGTGCAAGAAGCCTCGGCTGCTAATGCGGACGAATTGGCAGGGAACATCGGCGACCGGTTTTTATGCGGCTTGTAACTGTTGCTGTTACGTGGGAAGAAGATCGTTAGCGTCGTCGCCCGGAAATCCCGCGGAAGATTAATGAGCGGTGCGGTCGGCGATTCGGCGTGGCGGCGATAGTGCCCGCATAGGATCCGCGCGCTTCCTCCGATACGGTGGTGACGCAGGTCGGTCGGCTTGATGTTGTCGCGCTTCCTGCAGGAACTGTCGTCAGCGGACAACAGGGCCGCCGTCGCGGAGCAACGGAAGGGCGCGGAAGGCTTGTGATCGTTCCGGCAGCGGGCCGATCGCTCCCGCGCCACAACCGATCGTAGCAGCGGCAGCGGCGCGGCGATCATCACGGTCGCCGCCGATGAGGGTAATGTGACGGCGGCGAGGACAGGTGAAGAGATGACGGTGACGGTGACGCCGTCGACTTCCGACGTCGCCGACAAGGCGGTGTCGACGGACGATGGCGGCAGCGGCGGTATGGAAGTGGCGCGTCTCGAGGCCGTCCTCGCCGCCCTGGTGGAGACGAAGGTGGAGGCGATGAAGGCGTCGTCGACGCTGAGCCGACGTTCCGGCAGCGCACCTGCGAGTCCGCGCCGACCTAGATTGACCTCAACCTCGACGGCCTCCTCCTCGTTGAACCATCACCACCATCATCATCACCATCATCATCACCATCACTCGCAGCAACAAAAACAGCAGCAGCTACAGCAACAGCAACAGCACAATAGAAAGAAGGGCCAGCATCACCAGCAACATCATCGTCACCGTCGCAGACGTCACGATTCCGCGCCCTGCAGCAGTGATTACCTTAACAATGCGACGGATCACACCCAGCATAAATTAACTAACGGTGAGTTAAGAGTTGTTATTGGTTTATTTCGTTTGAATAAATATTAAAGTGAATTTTTTTATTGACAAACGTATAAATATGTCCTTTTAAAAAGAAAAACATTTCATATTTTGACATTTTGACATTTTCCATATTTGAAATATTTATAAAGATGCATTAAATCTCGTTTTTGTACAACCATTTCCAATAAAATTTGAATTGACTGGTTTATTGCGAACGTATTTAAAGGATTATAAATTATTTATACTCGATGAAATTTGAACATATTTTAATAAAAGTAGAACAAAACTTATTTCTTTACGCGTAAAAATAATGGAAATGTTACAGTATAAAATATTAATCCGGAATTTGGTATTCGACATTAATTGTGCTTTTTTGTTTTTTGTTTAGGAAAAGGACGGAGAAGAGCTTCCGAAAGTCCTCGCAGCCCTCGAAAGAAGCGCAGGCATTCGAGGAGCCCAAATGTTCTCCAAGGCGTCGTTCAAGACGTTCACGGCGGCCTCGATTCGCGCTTCGAGCTGCTCGGCATTGACGGCGACCAAGACTTGGCCCTAATAAATTTCGAAAGGGCTAAAGAAGTCCTCGGCGATTCCTGCGAATATTCGCGGCTGCAACTCCGAAGTGCCTGCTACTTTTCCCAAAGCGCAGCTCAATTGTAAGTACTCTATGCATTCAACAACAATAATATTTACTTGAGCTTCGATAGATTTTATAAAAAATAATGTACAATAAGTTTTATTAGAATGTCAAGCTATTTTTTCTATACAAAAAATATGACGAATGTGTTGGTGAAAAGCAAACGGACTTTAAATTTTCATCGAATTTGAATTATTCTCTTACTCAATGCGATTTGTAGAAATTTATAACATCTCAGGAGATCTTCACATGTTTTCTGGCATAGTTCTCTAATTTATGATTTCGTGAAACTTGCTCCTCGCGTGCACGTCAGAAGTAAATTCCCTGTGAGCGTAAACTTTCGCTCGCTGTCTTTTCGTTTACGCGGCTGGTGAGTGTTGCCTTCGTCGACTCGTCCTTCCATATTCACCGGGATTCGATCGGTCGGCCACGAGGGTAGAGATAGAGGGAGGAAGAGAGAGTGAGAGAGAGAGAAAGACACGGTTTTGGCGTGAGCGCAGCACACTCCGTGGAACTGGGTCAGCGCAGTGCGTGGTCGCGCGCCTTCGTCACATGCCGCTCTCGGCAAATATGGTTTGGCGGCTGAATCACCTGGGTGACAAAGGACGAGCGTGCCGTTGAAGCGTGTAATGAAACTGCGGCCGTCGGCAGATAGCTTGTGGTGATTAGCGTTCACGGGAAGGCGTCATCGGATTACTACGTCTCATGCTTTTTCATTTTTTTTTTCGATTTTTTTTTGATTTGATGAAACAGTTTCTAAAATTACACGGCAGAACATTCGGCAGATGCGCAATGCTATAGTACAATGCTATAGTACAATGCTATAGCACAAAAAGAGGCAATTTAATTGGTTTATGTTGATTAATTCAGCACTGGTATTACGTGATGAGTTACACAGTTTAGCCTAGAAACTTTTATCAATACGTTTTTGAAATAAATTTTTTCGATCGTACATATTTAACTTATGTCTATTAATTTATATTTATACTCATTTTTTATATTTGTTATACGTATTATATTTTTTATATTTAATTAATTCATATTTTTAATAATGCACGGATGAATGTCATAATTTATTAAAAATTCTGAAAATTTTTTAGTTTTTAAACTCCGTTACGCTGTAGCTCGATATAAATCTAGGACGATGTTACTGTCAGATTTAACGTAATGACAAGAGCGTTCTAGATACACGTGAAAGATTGCGGGATAACGTATCTTGACAGTTATCCGTTGACAAATAAGACACAGTAGAGCAGAGACGATATTAATCGAAACAGAGTTTTTATGTGTGAGAATAGCTGGCGGAGCGACTGATACAACGTCGACGTTTACTACTTGATACGGTCCGCTTTGATACGGCTAAATCTACTGGTATATCAATTTAATTTTCTCTTTATCGAACATCTTCTCCTTAATTAAATATGCTGTCATAGTGGATAAAAGCTTCCATTTATAAGTCTTTTCACGTTTTCCGATAGCCGGTTATTAATAGACGCATTTTAAATGTACACATTGACAGTGCGCGGAAATTAACTCTGTCGCGTAATTGCGAAAATGACGCAGATGAATATTCATATCGCGGAAGATATTATTTCTCCCGACGAATGTGGGACCGAGTGCGTAAACGACGATAGCACCGCGAATCGACAACGGACCATTGTCCGACCTCACGCCGGCTGTTATCACTGGCTCGAATTTCATCCAGACTCTCCACAATGTCCCGACACCTCGCTTATCGTTTTTCCACTTTTCCGTCCTATTCTAGCAGGCGTTTTCTAAAATTATACCCAGAGAGCACGTGACGGCCTTCGTGTGTGTGACGTAGATAGCGCAACGATTGTTCTTTGTTCAGCTCGATATCGGGGTCTACTTCTCCGTCGGCCGTTGTAGATGTATGTATATCGAATTGCTGGATCGCTTTTCCATGCACGTCGCCGAGCTTGAACGTGTAACAGCGAGAGCAAGTTGAGCAGTTTCGCCGCAAACACGGCACGTCGATTTATCATCGCGCTTTGTTTAATGCTCTACATTTATTTTAATACGTCAGTAAAACTATACATAGCTGCCATGCGTAATTTTTATTTTTTCCGGTATATTTTTATCAATTTTTTACGTAGATTGACGTTCACAACGGTTTCATAATACTATATACACTCAGATCTTTTTAAACTTGAAATAGTCTCATCGGAATAGCATATGCAAGAATAATATCACGTTACGGAAATGCAATTGACTTCCGACAATTTTTGTTCTTTTCTTCTCGTTCGTTGATTGGTCGGTCGAAAATGGGATAACATTTCTAATTCGTCTCGATGGTGAAGGTATGTATACATAACAATGGATTGGCTTTTCACCGTCGTCGGTGAAAAGCCGCATACGGCAAACAACTTCTCGAGTTTCACGAACAATACAGGTACCATGATCGATACTCGTTCATTGCTCATCCTTCTTCCAACCTTCACATTCGGTGCCTTAGACTTGCAAGTGTTGTGTTGTCCGGGATGTATATTAGTGTAAGTTTTAATTAACGACGTTGCTGATAGCTTAGGACACCTTATTCGGCGAAAGGACATGTAATATCGATATATATTGACAGCTTGAGAAGAGAGAGACAGAGATTAACTGATTGCTATTCAATCTCTTTGTTGAAGGCATTTGAATATTTTTACACATGTGGTTTATAACTTTATATTCCCATTTGTGATATTGCTGACTAGATCTGTTAATAGGATTTAAATTAGATTTTTAACGGAGCATGAAATATATAAGTAAAATGTCATTTTTCAATTTAAACGTCAGAGGTAGTCGTATACAGGTCAGATCCATTTTCAAAACTGTATTGATTAACAGCGATGCTTCGATCAAAAATAACAATAGCACGTTGTGGAAACAATAGCTTGATATTACTTGTGCGGTGAATTCAGAACCAATTTTTGCTCACTCGGAAGCTTTTGAGACAACCTTTTCCGCGAAAATAATGGAGGAGAAAGCATCTTTTTTTTTTGTTTAATCTTTTCAACAGAAAAATTCATTACGACGACGACGACTACGTGGCGTTGAACGTAGCCGACGAGCTGGAGGAGGAGGAGACCCTGAGCGGTCCGGAAAAGGTGGATGAGCCTCAGGGAAGGTATCATCGACCGCGAAGAAAGCGCAAACGTAAACGACGCAAGGTCGACCCCGTCGTCAGCCCGGAAGAGGAGCTCGTCGATCCCGAGGAACTCCCGCCTCGTGCACGATGGACGATCGTCGCAACCGCTTGTCTTCTGCTCGCCATGTCCTTGCTCCTAGTCGGCGTCACACTGCGGATGGCGCCTATAATCGACGATATGGGTAAGCGATTACACAACGACGAACACTCAATCTTTAATCGAGTGGCTATCGAATTTACATTAATTTTATTTGATAATTTTTGTTCATATTCTTACATTTTTATTATTTTCTTTTCCACCACTACGGATAAGCGTGGTTAATAATTATATGCCTTTATTGTTCTTTTGGTTAAAAAAAGAATTTATAAAAAGGATTTTCTGAGAGGTTTAGAAAGCGTTCTGTGCTCGACAAGCGCGAATTTACTCCCCGACGATTTTAGCGCGCGATAAAGCGTGCAATTTATTACGCAGTGTAGACCTTTTTACGGGCGATACGACGTTTGAAAGTTGATGCGTCTGAAAATAGTAGCTAAATAGTCGCACAGATTGCGTGGGAGAAAATCATACCGGATTACCAGCGCTGAAATATGTAATACGGTCTCGGGGGGTAGTAACCTCCGGATCAAGTCGCAACGCATTAATGATTTAATTCGTCTTTAGTATGCAATTTTCGTGTACTAAGGGACCGATATTGTCGTTCCGAGCAGATCCGATTAAGTGCAGCGCCAAGTCCTCATGAACTTAAATTAGATTAATTATCTCGTGATCTCTCATTCAAAATTTTATAGAAAACTGCTTTCTTTGCTATACGCCGTCATTAACTCTCGAAAAAAGATATTATCTCAAATTAATATTTGCACACAACGAGCATTTAAAGCAAACGTTAAGTATGCATATTCTCTCAGAACGATTATTTTACGCGAGTCTGTAAACGCAGCCAAACACCAGTACTTTAAAAAGATTAAAATTCTGCATTTACATAAACGTGTTGTGAGCTAATTTAATTATTTTCAACGATGTATTTTACTACTGATATATCTAATGATTTTATTAGATTAACTTAAGCGACATAAAGTTGGTATCTGATAATTACCAAGTTAATGTCAACGCGATAGGTGGTTTATTCATTATTGTTAGCGGTTTTGCGGTGGACGCCGGTGTTTCCTTCCTGAAAGCCACGCAACCGCATTTCCTCGTGAATTAGGGAGCGAGTCGTTGACAGTTCTCTAAACTGAGACTGCTTTGGCGAGATGAAGACAGAGGGTGCGCGGAGGTTTTCGCCAATTAACCTGGATTACGTGCCGTGACGACGGACGACACTCTGGCTGCGCATCCGAACGCGAGAGTACCTCCGCCTCAGGCTTGTATGCCGTGAGACGTTCACACACACACACAAACGTACACAAATACGAACTCTACGAGCACAAACAAGCCGCATGCAGCGTACGAGGTCGAGGGCGTTCCGCGACTCTAAATTAAAGGCGCGCGTCTGCGAATCCTCCAGTCAGCCGTCGGATTTCCGTAGCTGAGCCACCTTGAAGCTCGCACTCGTCGCTTTACGGTCGGAAAATCTCGGCCGAAAAATCGCTTTCGCGAAGTGTGCATTGTCTCGCGACGACGATCGTGCCGATGAAGAAAGATCAAAATGCTCCCTCGCGATGAATGCGATTCTGATCCCGTCGTTCCGTAAAGCTGCAGTACGATCGGGAATTTTACGTGAAAAATGGAATTAAAGTTTCAGTCAGCTTTCACATTTCCGCCATCCCCATCTCTCGCGCGATGTGAAATTGTTGGAGCGATCTGCGGGAGTTAACATTTCTCATTTCTTCTCGAGAGGAAACAATTTCCTGGACATTCGCGGTCGTGAGGGGTGAGGCAAAAATAAAATTGCACTTTCGCAGAATTGCTGGCGAGAAAAGTAACGCGATTTTAACGCCTCGGGATTCTAAGGTTTGTTAATGGCCGTTAAATTGCTGACACCGCGAATAAAAGAACGTGTCGCATGGTGGATATTAGTCAACGTCAAGACAGAATACTCAATCATTGCTGGATTTTCAATGATTGATGAAGTTGAATTAATCTTGATATCGCCGTTCGTAATTATAAATCTTTGCTGAAAGAATTAAGTTATACAAAAGAAACGGAACACCTTTAATAACACGCAGACAATAAAACAATATTTTTTCC